TCGGAACATCTGAGAGCCATTCGAATGTCCGACCAGCTCGTAACATCAATAGCCTGATTAATTGTCATTTAAAAAAAAAGAAAAAAAAAACGGATTTTTGTGATGGTTTAAATACTTATATTTACAGTCGGGGGGAGCAACTCGTCCCTTACATAAGCAATCTTCTATGAGTGTTTGCAGCTTTCCAAGGGTAAGTTACTATTAGCACTTGCTGAGTGTTCAAGCTTCTCAGGAAGAATGAATAAGGAGATTTTAGCTTTTGACATGAATTGGTTCTGTTTGTTTTCAGGTGATTGTGGAGCCAGTTATTGGAATTTCCGACGATTCACATGTGGCCGAAGGTGTTTGGGGTATATTGAAAGGACGTGTAGTGCGCTATTTAATACAGGGTGAAAGTGTTGTGCTCGGTCGGGACACTCAAACTCACAAGGTAGGTATTTGCGAAGTTCATTCCTAACTCGGGAAAGAGCATTTTTTTTCCCGAGATTATTTTCCTCGGCAATGAGAAATCTTAGAAGGAGCAAACATCGATAGTCCTAGCAGTGGGTGATTTTTTTTTGGGATTTTTGAGTTAATTTCTGAGGAATGAGCACCCTTAAAGTTTTTACTTCTTCTGGCTTGATGAGGCATAGACAAAGTTTGGAAAATTTCTTTTAATTTTCTCAAAAAGTAAAATTTGTACAACGAAAATATTATCTTTGGTTGAGCATAGCTCGCAGTCATCGGTCACACATAGTTATCATCATTATTATCGTTATCATTATCATCAGCATCATTGTGGTACTACACTGAAAACAAGGACAAACTATACACAGAAGAAGTCATCACATATGCGCAGCGTCATGCTTTTTGCATAATATTATACAGTTAGGAATGAGAGTACTCAATTCCTTAATAAAATATCGAAACCTACGTGTTATCCATACACATCGCCTTACTCCTGATCCTAAACATATACATTGTTCACATCAGCAGCACCATTACTGTGCTTAAAAACCAGGGGACCGGAGATTTTTGCGCTCAAAAATCTAGCTGAGATAAGACTAGGAGTGAGGGAAAAGCTTTAAAAAAGATTTATCTAACTGGATCAATCTTTTGCCCTCTCATATTCAAGTTAGACAGGCTACCAAGTCACTGCACACATAAAGGCTTGCTTATTTGGGACATCTAAATGACACTTCCAGTGTTTTCATTATCAAAATT